AACTTGACGCAACGTTGCGTTACGAGGAGATACGCAGAAAACGTCAAAAAGAGGTGTTAATCCCTCTTCCACAGTGGCTAGGTGTCGAATTGCCTTGGCCATAGTTTGAGGGAGTACGCGCATTTTGAAAAGATTATGGAAAGCGTGGGAAAGAAGTAAGATAGCGGCAACGGGGTGACAAGAGTGGCTTGATGGGGCTTGATGAGGTGAATGCTGTCTGCCGTGGAGACGACAGATGGTAAGGGGGAGGACAGCAGCGCAGAAATCATGCTTGAGATATCCCCACAATTATCCTCCGTTCTGGAAATGTCGTGCATGAGATCCCTAAAATCCTCGGTTACTGGTCATTTTACACTACTATACCGGCGACACGCTTCGCCTTTGTTGTTTTGGACGGGCGACAAACGAGATCCGAAGGTGACATCTCGCTTTTCGGGTCCATCGTGCTGCTGTTTTTTCTCCTTTCGCCCCGCTCTTGCAACAACAATTCATGCTTCGGACCCTGTTCACAACAGAAAAGTCAATTTCACCCGCCTGTTGGCACCAAAATGCACCTGATCGCCCCCATAAAAGCAAAATCTTTTTGCTACAGGCCGGCCAGAACTTCTGTCAGGGCTGGGGGCGCGACCGTGGAAAGCCGGACATTCCGGACAACTTGCGCGCTCTCCCGCTTCTTTTGCGGGTGCCAGCAGAGAAAGAACATGGCCCCGGCGCATACTATGCGCCGGGGCCATGCAAGCGCGCGCGCCACTGCACCAGTATGCGGCGCATACCGGTGCACTGGCGCGCGCGCTTGCGCTACTGCTTCTATTTTGGAGTTGTAGCAAAACTGCAGTCGGCAGTGCGTCTGAAAAATGTCTTGCGGCCAAACTAACTATTGAGAGAAATTCTTTTCTAGATGAAATAAGTAGAAGGTCACAGTAGACTTCGGGGCGCGTCACTAGAGATGTCAAAGGGCACACGGTGGAAGAGAGGTACGGTGGAAGAGGGGTAGGGTAAATGGGAACTGCATAGCCTTCTGAAAATCTCTTGAAAGAAAATAATAATGTCACCGGAGGTCCGTCCAGATCCCCGTGTGGCAATCCTCACCATCTGACGAAGGTCGGCGTCGTTGCGTTCTAGTCTAGAGGTTAGATGAGGTGAAACAATGAGGGCAGTTCCTCAGAAGCAAACCATGCCGTAAGATACCAATCGACAGAGGCCAGCATGAGAGGACATCTCCTCACAAAAATCCTGGCGGGAAGCGATTCAAGTCACTACACGTGTTGCAGCAAGTTGTAGCGGTTGTCCGTTGGGCACGTTGTCCTGGAGCAGCAATAGCCAAAAAGCTTTTGGTCTAACCATCCTGTTTCAATGGGAAGATAGTCTTCTCTGCCACGCCGACTTTTCTATCACGAGGATTTCAACGGAATGGAATGCAGAGGTGACAGGGTCTGAGGGGTTTCTACCCTGGTCCCGCAAACTGCAAAAAGGAGATGCTGTCGATAAATGGAACGGCACTTATTGACATTTCGTCAAGACAAGAAAAGTGTAGATGACTCATTGAATATTGTCAAACCCTGTTTTGAATCTCTTTCTCTTCCTTTACTAATCTATTAATCAATTACTCATGGAAGTGGACGTTGCTCTTTTTCTGTTAAACCTTTTCTTCAGCCCAACCGAAGTTTGGTGTACATGCATATCAACCGACATTGTTGCATTTACTGAGAGCATTGTAAACGCAAAGCCCATGCTTGCTCTGATATTGGAATGCTGACAATGAACGTGTACATTCAGAAATCCTTGCTGGTGTCTACACGTGTCCAGCAATGTGTACAGCAATGCCTGATAATATCAGGCATTGCTGTACACATTGCTGTGTGTTTTCTCGGTTTGGATGCGGCGACGGTGCTACATGCCAGGCCTACCTTCGTAACAAATATACGTTGCGGTAGCCAGAAGAACAAATGGCAGAGCAAGTGGCAGACAACGTTGCTCATGACTGTTACCTTTGCAGCGAGAGCAGAATGTCCTCGTAGAAAATCGTACGGGCTTGTAGGCTGACTGACATCTGGTCCTAAAAGATTCTTCCGTCTTGCCCGGGACGACAGGACTGCACACAGCATGTATTGCCATGACGGCTACGATTTTCGGCGGACAACGAGGACATTCTGCTCTCACTGCAAAGGTAACAGTCATGAGCAACGTCGCCTGCCACTTGCTCTGCCATTTGTTCTTCTGGCTACCGCAACGTATATTCAATTAATCATCTACACTCTTGTAGTGTGCGCTGTTGTCTGAAACGTTTGCAGGATGATATTCAATTGAGAGTTGGAACGAAAGGCTCTGGTGTGCCGGAAACGGTAGACAACATATTGTTGCGTAGTTTAGGCGTTCGGGGACTGTGAATTTGATCCAGCGGGAGTTTAAAAAAGCATCGGCGGGAGTTTTGCATCACTCATCTGGCGAAACCGCGTCACGCCACCGGGCTAGCTGTCGAGGGTTGTAGCGCGGCGGCAGGAATTCGCAGTCGGAAGGGGCGGCAGGGTTGGGGTAGGGTTGTGTTGTGACGGGGTTTGACAGGCGGCGGCGGCACAGATTTGCAAGGTAATGGGTGCAAATTGGATAGACGCGTTCGGTGTCAGAGTTGCGCGCGCTGGAGAAGCGGTGCTGCAGTGATGCGGTATCCAGAAGTAGACTCCTACAGCGCGGGGATATCGGAGGGGGAAAAGCAGCGGGCGTGAGAGAGTAGAGCACATAACATTATGGATGCATGTCGACGTGTGTGTTTGGAAGAGTACAGCACACGTGAACGATGCACGTCGGTCTCCCTCGCCTGCGTCGACGCGGCCACGGTGGCAAAAAAAGAAGAGTGAACCAATGGCCGCTGGCGCGGGTCGAGGCGAGTCGAGATAGTGGTGTGCTGTAGGAAAGTGTAAATGCGAGCAAATGTCGGACGAGGCGATGGAGAAGTTGAGTAGGGCGGCGGCAAAGATGATGCGAGCAAGGAAGACACTGAGACGCGGATTGATAGGGCGGGTGCGACGCTGATACAGAATGCGGGCGGGCGACACAGCGGGGCACTATGGCGTGTTAGATGAGTGTCTCCCTGTCGCTGGAGTGGGGTAGTGGCGTCGCGCTAATGCCGAGAGACTCAAACTATCGGGAGGGGTTATTGGGGCGAGCGGAGGAAGCGAGCGGAGTAGACAGAGATGCGCAGCTTGTTCTGCGTTTACTGTCGTTTTTCCCTCTACCCTCCCAGTCCTTTTATCCTCGGGACTAGGAGTAACTAAGTTACATGTAGCAGTAGCCGAGCTCACTGAGGTCAGTGAGCTCGGCGATCAAGATCATGGGCTTTGGTCGCGATCGTGCGACAAGCACAGCATAAGTGACATCACTTACTCTCTGATTGAGGAGAGAGCGGCAAATTGGGGCCGTACAGCGGGGCACTGTTTTCGAGGGATTAGATGGCGCGCCAGTCCGCGGTCGCAACGCCACGTGCAATCGTCCGTGTGGGCCACAGGGCGGTTGGGAGTCTGCGGCGGTGGCGGTGCCGGCGAGGTTTGCCGGAAAGGTACAGCATGCCATGAATTAGTAGCTGAGGGTGCCGGGATGGACGATGGAACGTAGTTGCTGTGCACGCTGCGAGGACGGAAAGGGTGCCTGCCATTTATCGGATGGATACTGGAGATTCGCGACTTCTCAGGCGGTCATCTCTCGCCCGGTGGATTGATGCGGTTGTTGTAACTGTTTCTCTCGGGGGTACATAGAACGGCGTCGGTATGTGCTTCCTGGGTAAAACGGCAGACGTCGGGAGATGATGGAAGGCGAGATTCTTCGCGCGGCGTAGCGCCAGGGAGTAGAGGCAGAGCTGGGACAGCACTGTACAACGCCGTTAGTTACAGTGCATATGCCACCCGTCACTCGCTCACCACATGTCGACATGTGACTGACATCAGTCGTCACACGCCACCGCAACCCAAATTCACCGCTGACCTCCCCCCCGCTAACCGCGAACTCGCTCCCCCTCGCGCTCTACGCTATCCTATCCTCCCCCCCGCACTCTATACAAACCCCCGTCTCTCCCCTTCCCAACACTCATCCGCCATCCTCCCACAACCCTCCGCCCCGATCCCGCCCCCTACCCCCATCCAACCACCCACCCCCGCCCAATGAAGCTCCTCATTCTCCTCTCCGCCCTGGCCCTCGCCGCCTCGGCCTCCGTCCTCAACACCTCCGCCCACCAGATCGCCAAGGGGGGCAGATGCAACTCCAACCCCACGGGCTGCTACCCGGGCCTGTCGTGCGTTGGCAACCCGGGCAACAAGAAGTGCTTCCGCAAGCGCACGGCCAACGAGAAGTGCGGCAAAGACCCGTTCTGGGTCTGCGCGGACGGCTTGACATGCTCGCGCGTCGGCCGCTGCGCCAGCACCGCCGGCGTCAAGGCCCGCTGCAACAACCCCGGCGACGTCTGCGCCGCAGGCCTCGTCTGCGTCGGAAACCACGGCAACAAGCGCTGCTTCCCGCCCCGCCTCATGGGCGACAAGTGCGGCAAGGACCCCTTCTGGACCTGCCAGGCCCCGCTCATTTGCTCTCCGAGAGGCACGTGCGCCCGCCCGAGAGGCCTGAAGAAGTCGTGCAACGCCCCGACCGACGTCTGCCGCTCGGGACTCGTCTGCGTCGGTAACGTCGGAAACAAGAAGTGCTTCAAGCCTGTGAGGGAGGGCGACCGATGCGGAAAGGACCCCTTCTGGGTCTGCGTTGACGGCTTGACCTGCTCCGCCGCCGGCCGCTGCATCATTTCACACTTTGTTGTCTAACTTCTGCAACTTCCGCTGCATCAAGGGATGAGAGCCATACATACACACGTGGTACACGTACAACAACGCGATTAGCGCACCTCAATCGCCGCCGCCCTACGGATCCCTAACCTCCCTCTATAAGGTAGACAGGCATTAGGCATCAATAAACCTGGGCATCGATTTTGCATCACAAAGGGCGTTGACACAGCAGGCGAGTGCACCGCCGCCGGCCTGTGGTGCGTGGGCAACCCGGGCAACATGAAGTGCTTCCCGCTGCGTCTCCTCGGCAAAAAGTGCGGCAATGACCCATTCTGGGAGTGCCATTCACCGCATTCCTGCATCGGCGACGTGTGCGTGGAACCGTTCTTCTGCGACGAGGACGGGTTATCATTCCTCTCGCCTGGAAGATGTGGCTGGGGTACAGTCAAGCTCCGAAAACGTTTGCACAGATGCCGAGGTTTCCTTCGGACATGGGAAACGCCGCTTCGGAGCTCTGGGCTTCGGTTGAAATTCCAACCAAGTCCGACCCCCTCCGCCACGTCTTCCCCGTCTCCTATCTTTCATCCCCTCATATTCATCCCCGGTTTCCAAGGCACCCTCCTCCCCCACCGCTCGCGTCCTCTCTTCCTCGCCCCCGTTACACCCTCTACCTACACTCAGCTGTACACGATCCGACGCACTATCCCCTTTCTCTCCCCTCTCTCTGTAGAATATCCGTCCTCCACATGCGCTCCTTCCCCACATTAGCATGTCGGCCACTGCCACCCGCTCCCTGCGCGCGGCCCGGTACATGCACGTTTCACGTATCTACGAGCGAACGGGATGGCTTATGTCAGTGCAGTTGGCTATGACTGGCGCCACGACACGTCCATTCCGTCCAAGCAGCCCTCTGGCGAGGGAGTTCTTCCGAGGAGACAGTGACAAGTGCGTTACAGAGGGGTTTAGTTTTGGCGCAGGCGGGTTGCCATCATTGAGGTTGGAGGAATTTTGGATATCTCATATTGGGCGTTTTATCGTTTTTATTGAACAGGTGCACCAGCTTTCACGTCCCAGGTTACGAAAGAAGGGTATCACCGTTCTAGAGCGTGTCACTCTGGTTATTTCAGACGCAAGTCAGGTAAGCATATTCGTTAATGGGGCTAAGTCGGGGCGCATTTGTCCTTGTCAACCGAGTATACATTTTCCGTCTTCAACGTCTGTTTTAGGTTGTCTAACGTGCGCGCGGTTTCTTTTTTGCGCTCTCCCAGCTTGGGCTTTTTAGTTCTTCCTCCCTGAATGAGTTTGATCTTGCAAAGAGATTTCCAAACAACGTCAACGTCGCAAATCAATAGGAGGCCGCGGAGATTGAGGCCGCCGAGGCGGAGCGGGACAAGGCCCGACGCGAGCTTGAGGAGCTGACAAATGGCATGCACGAGGAGGACGATGAAAAGGGCGATGCTGAGAAAGGCGATGCGGGCGGCGCGCCGCCATCGCGTCGGGCGGCAGCTTCGCCTTGCGCGAGAGCGCCGACGTGTCCGCACCCCGCTCGCCGACTCCCTCACATCGCCGACCCGCCTGACATGTGCCCTTCGTCTCTCCCGTCCTCCACCCGCACCCCCGGTCAACATACCGACACCCTCACTACCGCCCCCGCCATCATCCCCCGATGCCCTAGACCTATCCACAACATCCCATGTCGTAATACGCAGTAGGGTCGTATTGCTACTGTGGGTCACTCGCAGTATCAGTGCGGATTCCACGTGCAGGAGCACAGTGCCCATGCTGCACCCCACACGAACCCTTCGTATTACGGACATCCTACGGAGCCACTGCACTGTACGTACTGCGGTGGCACTGCGTTAGGTTTACTAGGGTACGGCGTGCCGGGTGGGCCTGGGCGTCGCGCAAGGGCATGGTCATGCGACAGCAGCAGCGAGACGCGAGCGCCGTTGGTGAGGGCGATGGGCGGGACGAGGCACTCCGCGCGCGCGGCGCGCGCGGCGCGCGCGACGACGCAGGCCGGCGGTGTGAAGACGCGCGAGGACAGTGTGTCGACGCCCGCCGTGAGAAGCGAGAGGAGGTGGCGCGTGGCGTTGTAAGTAGGCGCGTGCAGGACGAGGACTGCCGGTGTCTTCCAGGACGGCGGGGCGCGCCGCCGGTGATGGCGGGCCGGGAGGAGGGCGGAGAGGGCAGGGCAAGGGTCGCCGGGCGGGAGGGAAAGGCGACGATGAGGGGGAGGATGAGGAACGGCAGAAGAAGCCGGCGCGGGAGCTTGGGCGCCATGGCGGGGAGAGACCTCTCTCTCCATTAGAACACATCCGGAAATATGAGGCCCCCACATTAAGATGTGGATATTTCTCAAAGACCTAGGAGTTACCAATAGTATTTGGTAGTTACTGTGTGCACCAAACAATTCCGCAAATACGTGGGGTATTCCAGGAATATCCCATATGCTATTAATGAAAGCGCATTTATTAAAGCGATGATGCTTTGCGTATAACAGCATGCTAACACTCTATTTACTCTGGGCTTTCAGTAGTTTGATTTGCGCGGAACCTCATATCAACACGTCTACGCCTTTTCTCACGATAGTTCGCCTGTACGCGTCTGCGTTTTTCGATTTGAGTTGTACCAATCTTGTACCAACGATTGGTAATCTTATGGTACAGACGTCCGTCATCTGCCCTAAGGGGATTCCACCGAATATGCCAGTTAGTCAGCCCCATGCACAACATGAATATAGAATCATATATTTTCTCTGGCCATTTCCATTTTGACCCCACAACGTTCCAAATGCCCGACATCCTCCCAAAATAATTTTCCACCAGTACACGGTCGCTTGAAATATGTCGATTCTCTGCAACTTGTGATGGTGACAGAACACCATTGCGCGGCTTCTTAGTCGGATGGATAGCACGACAAAACTCCTTAGAACCTTGATAGCCCTTGTCTTATAAAATCCCCCATGTATGTGGAAATTCGTCTTCCATTGGACCATCATCCTCCAGCTCCAATTCATCAGCACATTTTTTCAATTGCTCCTTGTGAAACTGTCGCATGTCCTGAAAAATACGAAAATCAGATACAGAACCAGGCTCGTAAGAACTACAGCCAATTGCCATCCCATTTGGCAAAACGGATGCCTCAATTTTGTATCCATACAAGCCATGTTTCTTGCTAAAGTACAGCTTACTCTCGCTCAAGTTCCCGCTTGGGCGATTTGATGGCTGGAATGTCACTTCGGTGGCATAGCGGGCCATTGGATAGTTGCGAAACAAAGCGTTGGTATCGACCATCTTTTTCATACTCCATTTTCTGGCTTGATGGGAAACGTAATGCTCGTATATTGGTCCGGATATTATTGCCACAAACTTTAGAACGATGCGTTCAAATGTTGCCGCCTTCATATGGAACATCTTTCCCATGAAATCCCACTGCGATCCATGCTTTAAGACGGCTAGTGTCATGAACAGCACATCCTTGGCGGTCTTGTAACATTTTCGTCCTCGTCCGACATTATATTCGGACATTATGTGCCCCTTAAACGCCTCCCAAACCCCTTCAAATTGCATTGGGGAGAAGTTAGTCATCTCCCTGATACCTTCTGCCCCGCCCTGATCATAAAAAGTGTCTATGATGGGACACTCGGAACCATTTTCTTCGTCAGTGTCCTCTTGGAGCAGTTGAGACAGCTGTACCTCGAGTTCATTCTCTCTCTCTACCGCTGCATCTGCGAGTAGAGAGAGGACAGTAGCTGCGTTAGTTGAAGTAAAGGGAGACATGGGGAAGGGCTTTTGATGCGGTGGGGTGTGTAGTTTGAAGAAGACCTCTGTTCTTCCGAAGTTACTGTATCGTTTTGGAAAAGAGCGGGAGACTTCCTAAAAGACCGCACAATTTGGATATTACGGAAAGCGCACAATTTGACTTCGTAATCTCAATTCACATTGCTTGCAATCCAAAATATTTATAATTTGATAAATGGTTGAGTATGTTGGCAATGACAATGCCTATACCGTATCTGCGCAGGTGCGTACAGTATACAGTTCGTAAATGCGCATGCCCATTCTATTTGCACAAGTGGCCTATTGATATGAGTGAGAGTGAGGTCAGCATGAAAGCGGTTCGCTGTTCCAATCAGTGGGTTATCATGAAATCAATGATTTTTGTGGTGACGAGACGATGACTCCTCTTTACTTCCCTCACTCTCCCTCATTCTCTTAAGACTTGTGGCCTAGCGCCGTCGTCTGTGCGGCGTTGTGAGCCGTGTATTACGTGTGCACGTGTGTGCATGTATGGTTATCATTACAATTATTACCTTGTGAGTGCCATAGCGACCTCGTTGTTATGGTTATCATTACACTTCCGCCGTCGCTCTGGCACGATCCTTTGTTTGGTGCGGGGTCGGGGGGTCGCACACTTGCAGCTTGGTTTTTAAGTGTGTGAATGGTTTCGGTGTTAGCGGCTTTGTGAGTATATCGGCAAGCATGTCTTGTGACTGTATGTGTCGTATACTGATCGTTTTTGCTCTGGTCTGGTGGGTGAGGTAGTGATGTCGGAGGTCAATGAATTTCCTTCGTTTCGTGGGTCCGCTGTTCTTGGCCACACGTATTGCGGATTGGTTGTCTATATGGAAGGGTGTGGCCTTCTGTGATAACATTCCATTGTCTTGGAGTAACCTTCTGATCCACGCCGTTTGTTGTGCTGCCGATGTTGCGGCAATATATTCTGCTTCGCATGTCGACAGTGCCGTGATGGATTGCTTGATTGATCCCCAGCAGACAGGGGAACCGTGGTATGTGTGGATCATGCCCGACATAGATTTACGGTCTGTGATGTCTGCGGCGAAGTCCGCATCACTGTATGTTTCGAGGAGGTTGGGGATACAGTGCGTTTGCACTCTATGTTTTCCTGCTGCAAATCTGATTCCATGCTTTTGGGTGTGTTTGAGATATCTGATGAGGCGCTTGAAGGCATTCTAGTGCCGTGTCGTTGGGTTTTTTGCCGCCACGGATAATCGGTTTGCGACAAAGTATATGTCTGGTCGCGTTGAATCGGCAATGTATCGTATGTCACCAAGCAGCTGTTGGTATATTTTGGTGACATGGGGCATGGGTTCATCTTCGGGAACCGGGCCATTCAGCTTTGTTTTGTCATTGTATGGCGTTGGTTTGCTGTTGCACTTGCTCATTTCAGCTTTGTTGACAACGTACTGTATCGCAGTTGGCTGTGATGCATGTATGGAGCCGTCTTTCATGCGATTGACGGTCAAGCCTAAGAGCTGGCTTGGTTCGCCCAGCTGTTTGATGTTATAGGCCGTGGCCAGGATTGCGGCAAACTCTTTTTTG